ATATATATATATATATATATATATATATATATATATATATATATATATATAATATATATATTATATATATATATATTATATATATATATATTCATATATATATATAAGTTTTTATAAAATGTTTTTGATCAGCAAAATGTAACGTATACAATGAAACCTTTTTTTTCAGATACAAGCACATTAATCACTGATTACAAAAAGTCCCTGCAGTCCGAGTATGCCTACATTACAGAATACACCTCTCGTGCTGGTGAAGAGGTGCTGCTCAGTGACCGTTACATCGACCCACTGATTGTTCAGAAACACAGGGAGAAGACAGAGCGCGAGAATGAGATGCGCTCCAGAGGGGAACGTTTCTTCAACACCAGAGAAACCTATCAGGGAAACCAAAACATCAGCCTCGATCAGCTGTTCGGCCCAGAGAACAGCTCCAAAAGAGTGACTCCAAGAGCTGTGATCCTTCAAGGTGATTCTGGAAGTGGGAAATCAATCACTGCGCAAAAGATCGTTCTGGATTGGGCTTCTGGAGAGCTTTACGCTGGACTTTTTGACGTGGTGTTTCATGTTAGATGCAAGCAACTCAGTGGGATCTCAGGTGACATGTTGAGCTTGCTGGATCTCCTGGATTGCAGTTTAACTTCAAATGAAATTGATCAGATATTAAAAGACAAAGCTGCTGATAGGGTCTTGTTTATCATTGATGGTTTTGATGAACTCATGCTTTTAGCATCCAATGAGCCTTTACCACCAAAACCAAACATAAAGTCCCATCCGTTGGCAATTGTTCACTCTCTTCTGAAAGGACGATTGATGAGAGACTCGTTTCTGCTGGTCACCACAAGATCCACAGCTGTAGACAAACTGGAGATCATCCTGAAAAAGCCTCAGTGCTTCATGGAGATCATGGGATTTTCCGAGAAGGGAGTGTGTGAATATTTTAGAAAGTTCTTTGAGGATGAAGAGTTTTCCACTCAGGTGTACGATCAGGTGAAGATGCACGAGATGCTCTTCACTGCCTGCTTCATTCCAGTCATCTGCTGGATTATCTGCACAATCTTTAAGAGGAAAGGAAAGGATGGTGTGGTAACTAGCGAGCTGACTACAACTACATCGATATTTGTTAATTTTGTGCTCACGCTCTTAAAGCATCATAGCGATTTGAGTCAAGAAGAGGAGCTCGACCTTATCAAGAACTTGGGTCAGCTTGCAGAGAGCGCAACACCAAAACGACAAATCCTGTTTTCCAGAAACGATCTCCCTAAAGCAATCTCACATCTGCCAAACATTCCTTTCCTGTGCACATTTCGCCATCAGGAGAGAACTAATCTGAAGGAGATGTTCGGGTTCATGCACCTCAGCTTTCAGGAGTTCTTCAGCGCTCTGTTCTACATGCTAACAGATAAGGAGGAAGCCAAAATAAAAGTGAAGGAACTCCTGGAGTCAGCAGGCAACGGCAGGCACAGTGAGCATCTATTACCAATCATTCGCTTCCTTTTTGGTCTTTCGAACAGGAAAGTGAGCCGATTAATCCATCATCCAAAGTCGACGTCTACCACAATTCGTGCAACGCTAACAAAATGGATCAGCAAGGTTTTAGTGAAGAACATCATGGATACACGCTACATGAGTGATTTCATTCTTCATTGCCTGTACGAGCTCCATGATAGCGACACACTGAAAGAAGTAATGAAGCTGTGGGAGCGTTCGGGCATTGACATACACTGGTCTTTGAGAGCGATCGACTGCCAGGTTGTGATGTACTGTCTTCAGGACACTTCACGGATTGTCAGCATGGAAGTGAAGTGCAAAGCAAAAGATCTGAAGGTGCTTCATCCTGCACTTTACAAGTGTGCTAATTTATGGTAAGTGTTCATGGTTTAAGTTGTGTTCTCACAATACTATGTAAGAAATGGTCTCTTAAAGAATAGTTGCCTGTCGGCACCAGTGGTGTAGTGCTTAGTATGTGGACACATGCACTCCCGTGCTCGCGGCGACCCAGGTTCGATTCTGCCTTGCGGTCCTATGCTGATCCTTCCCCTCTCTCTGCTCCCCATGCTTTCCTGTCAATTCTCTCTACTGTACTATCAAAAATAAAGGTGAAAACCCCGAAAAAATAATTATAATAAAATATATATATATATATATTATAATTATTTTTAAGTGCAGGATGAATATATATGTATATATTAAAGTCAGAATTATTAGCCCCCCTGTTTATTTTTTTCCCCAATTTATGTTTAACGGAGAGATTTTTCAACACATTTCTAAACATAATAGTTTTAATAACATTTATTTTACATTTATTTTTATAAAATTGTGTTTAAAAATTAAAAACTGCTTTTATTCTAGCCGAAATAAATCAAATAAGACTTTCTCCAGAAGAAAAAATATTATCAGACATACTGTGAAAATTTCCTTGCTCTGTTGAATAGCTCTTGGGAAATATTAAAATTCTGACTTTAACTGTATATGTTTCAGGTAAAATTCAGCAAAATTCACTGTTGAATTGTAGTCATCCAAAGATTTTTACAATAACACTGTAAAAGTGAGTAAAAAAATTGTTAACCTGAACTGTTAAGTTGACTTAATCTATTTTTTATAATTATGCAGATAGGTCACTTACTCATTAATTTTAGGTCAACTAGTTTACTCATTTTTAAGTAGTCAAATAAAAAGCTCAAATAGTTAGTTCAGACAATATAATTTCAGAGTACTTAAACAAAGATAATCATAACTTTTAACATCAAAAAATGTTTGATCAGAAATCCGGGTCCCGTAATGCAAATTTGAAGCATAAATTGACAGAAACCAACTGTAAATCATATGCTGTGGGCAACTGTTAAATAGCTATTTTTTACAGGGCTGCACCCTGCACTCTTAAAATACTCTATTTTTTGTTTACCTAAATAGCATTTAAGTTTTAGGAAAAGGGAGTTTAGTTTCCAAAAAATTTAAATTTCTGCATCTTTTATGCATCCTTCCCTTGTTCAAAGCATTTTGCTGTATGTATTTTAGGAATATTTGGAAAAAGGCTGGTAGCTGGCATGCATCAACTTGGTAGGAAAATAAATTACTATAGCACGCCCCTAGCCGGGGGGTTCGAAAGACCCACCCCTTACTGACAAAGGTCCAGAATTCCTCATATACATGAGCTCATGTGTCCTATTTTGACTCCTATGCCATCATAAATAGTGAAAATAACCCATAGAAAAGGGCTTTAAGACCAAGTGGAATCTTCTGTTGGCTGTCCCTTCGGCATGATCTCAGCTAACCAGTTTTAGCTAATGCTAACAAATATTTTAATTTTATAATCTGACATAAAATAAGTCTTCTTTCGCTACTGTTTTTAAATAGAGAAAACATTTTATAAGCTATTTTTATTATAAATCCTGGAGCTTATTCTTGAAACAAAAATAACCAATAAAAGTGGACCATATTAAATTAATTTGAATATATTTTGGTCATTGTTGTTATCCATAAATTTTCAAATGTACCTTTTTTTTATTACAAAAGAGGCTGGAAAAATTGTGAAGCTTCACTTTATTATTATTATTATTATTATTTTATTTTATTTTTATTTTTATTTTTATTTTTATTTTTATTTTATTGAAATTGTCAAATTCTGACTGAGGACAGTTGCATGTGCTGGCCAGTTTGTTATTTGCCTAATAAATGACAATAGCCGACAGTTTTTAATTTAAAACTTTAACAGATTCCTATTTTTTTTCTAATGATATATGATGTAATAATTTTTTATTTTAAAAATAAGTATTTATTTATATTTATTTATTCAAAATATTTTTGGTACATGTATCATATCTTATCATTGAAATGTGATTAATGATTTGTTTAATAAAATGAAGTCTTACTAGTTTCTGTTTTGTGTTTTTGAAGGTTGAGGGTTGATTCCATGTCAAACTCTGATGTTGATTTCCTGACATCAGCCCTGAAGAAGAAAAAGGATGTGGGCTATTTGACGTAATGTTTTATTGGTTATGATTTAAATTGTTTATATTCATAAATCCAACAAAGCCTTATGGAAAGTTTCATTTAGGCACTAAATGACATGCTATATGGTCAGCTAAATCTAATTTAGCTTTAACATACAAAAAGCTACATCATGTTTAATGTGAGGAGTAAGTAAAGCAGCCTTGTAAATATATTGCAGAATGGAGGATGGAGACCTTTCAGATGAAAGCCTGCTGAAGATCCTGAAAACCCTCAGTGGACAAACATCAGTGGGTAACATTCGACTGGCACTGAGGAGCATCAGCGAAAGCAATGTTGATTTAACCATGAACTTCCTCATTAAGGAAATGATGGGTAGAAGTTTCAGGTAAACCAAATGCAGTCATAAACATAACACAAACTGCTGTAATTGTTGACCACTTTTTACTATCTTTTGTATTAAATGGCTTATTATAAATGTATGCATAATTAAAAATACATATAATATTATTATTGTTTAGATGCATATAGACACATTGAGTTACCAGAGCAAGCATACACACAAACTGTTGATATTATAACCAAGTTTTTGATAGATTATTGATCATTTCTTTTCATTTTCACAGTGTGTGCATTGGCAGTCAAGTAGAAAACACCGAGACGAGTTTATGTTCAGAGTTCACGATCGCACATTCAAAAAAATCCTTCTGGTAATTAGTTGATGCACATTCTGTCACATGAATTTTGTTTCTTATAATAAAAAAATAATAATAATCATTATTTTCCTATTTCAGGTTCACTATCGGGCATTCAGAAGGACATCCGAGTGAAAAGCATGGTTGTTATCAGGGTTTTTCAAAAATATCCTTCGCTCTCTGTCCTTTATCTGAAATACCCATGAACAATTTTCTGAAGACATCCAATAACCTCAGATGCTTCTCGGATGTGTAGGTAATCTTATATTATTTTAATATTCCAATCCTTTAAGGTGTATAATATTTGGTATTTGTGTATTTGTATATTTGTTTGCAGGAATAACACTGAGTTTGGTGTGAATGTGGACTCTCTGGTGTCTTTCCTGAGTTGTGTTCCTGGTTTAACTGAGGTGGACATGCATTCAGAATACCTGACAGATATTTGGGCTTCCAGGATTCTGTTCTTCCTTCAAGTCAATCCCAAGATTTCACATATAAAGTAGGAGAATATTCAAGTGATCCTTTTATATCCTATAATGATTAATATATTGTTTGTTCAACACAATCTCATGGTAATTCATACCTTTTTGTTTTGGTGGCTCAGTCATTTAAATTCGTATTATCTCATTCGTACAATTTTTTTTTTTTTCACTTTTATTGTTTCAGAAAAATGTGATACATTCATAATGTATTAGTAACAAAATACCAATCAAAGAACTCCCGCCCCATCCTGACGTTCAAATAAAAATTTTTTTTTAAAAAGAATAGAATAAAAAAATGCATTCTCATGCGAGGAAAGTAATACATAAACAGATAAATAGAAAATAAAGATTAACTAAAATAAGATTAAATAATAATAAAAATAAAAAGGGCAATTTTGTTAAAAATTTAAAATATATAAAAAATAAATACCATTAAAACATTGACATTTCAACCTATACATTCCAGTGAAAGTGAAAAGTATATTAAAGTTAGTCATTACAAACACAGTGTATTTTAACAATCACATTGTTTGGTATTACTAAACGGTCAGTCCTATCTTATTTAAAAAATGAAGGAAGAAGTCCCAAATCTTGTAGAATATGTGCATTTTTTGTTTGATTGAATAAGTCAACCTTTCCATTGCTATACACGAAGACATTTCCTTAATCCAGAGTCACAAAGATGGAGCATGAGTACTTTTCCAGAATAGCAATCAGGTGCTTCGCATGTAATAGACACAGATTTATAAACTTCTGTTCATATGACTTCAGCGATGAGGCAGGTGGGAAAAGACCAAGGATACAGATTTTAGGGCAAACAGGGATTTCTTTACCAATAGTTTTAGAGATTACACCCATTATTTCATTCCAGAAGAATTGCAAGTGCTCACATTGCCAAACACAATGGAACAGTGTGCCCTTGTCAGTGTGCAAGTCAAACATTTTCCACAAATGTCCAAAATATTTCTATTAAATTTATTTAACATTTCTGGTGTTATATATGTTCACATTATCCAATAATATTGGATTAGTTTAAAACGGGTATTGATTGATAATGTTTGCGTTTGAAGACAACTTTCTTCCCATTCATTTTCTGTAATATCTATTTGAAAGTCTTCAATCCAAGCCAGTCTTTTATGATTTGTAGATTCTTTGAAAGCATTAACAAATTTGCTATATAGTGTAGAAATTTTGTATTTGGCACTGGGATCTTTAACTGCAATTTCTTCTAAACTACTTGGGTTTGGGCACTAATATGAATAATTTTTAGATCTTATAAAATTACGGATCTGAAGATACTTAAAAAAATGAGACTGAGGAATTTTATATCTTTCCTTTAAGGTTTAAAGGACATCAATATATTATCTTCATAAAGATCTGGTATCTTTTGCAAGCCTTTCTGGAACCACAGCTTAAAATCCTTGTCTGATTTCCCTGGTACGAATAATGCATTACTCCAAATGGGAGAGAATTTAGAAAGTACCGGGGTTTCTCCCTCATCCGTACAATTGAATAAAACTTGCTTATTCCCCAGCGACGATTGGGTTTAGAGGTGGGTTTGATTACACACCTTCTTTTTTTAAAGGGTCACAAAGCACAAGATGAGATGTTGACGGATATTTGTGTCCCACACTGCTACAAGCACTAATAGGACACATACATTTCACCAAAAAAAAAGTGAAAATTGGTTGTTTTTGCATTGTTTCGAGCAAATTCGTTCTTTCGGTTTAAAAAGAATTTTGAATCTACGTCACAGCAATTAGATCCTTGTGTAAATTCCAGCGTGGAGACTGTACCGGCGGGTACAACGTGACATCTTTGAGTTTGCATCATTAATTCAAGAGATAAACTTGGTTCAAACCAATCAGCGTGCTTTGTGTATGAGGTGCAACTGCATTTATATGCATGATAGCTTCAAAGACCTGTTACAGTGTTCAGATGGCAGAGAGACGCAACGTTTTGTTTTCAACGATAATTCAAACTAGTGTAAGTAGAATTGTTTGGAGACATGGGTCGTCAGTGTTGTGTTTATAAATGTGCTGCAACGAAGGATTTATTTTCAATTCCCCACAATACCCAAATAAAATAAATGTAAATATGCATATAATAAATAATACTGCTAATAATAATAACATTACACTAAAGCAAGTTGTCATGAATAAACTAAAAAAGCCCCCCGTGATGAAGGCATGAAGGCAGTGTTTTTTATATTTATGTAGAAAATTATATTTTTACAAATATTTTAATCCTTTAATTCTTTTTCATTTGTAAAGATATGTACATATTGCTGTACATCCTGCGTGTTTTAAGCAATGTGTTAGGGAGGCGCACAACTAACACGCTCTGCGCTGGATTTAGACCTCCTCTCAGCTGGTCTATTGAACTATTTTACTGTCTATTTTAGTTCCTCAAAATAGCAACACCCCAACAATGCGCCTTAACACACCTCTTTTCTAGACTGAAACACCCATAAGTCCACAAAGTGGCGCAAATGCATTTGCTATTTAAATAACGTGCCAGAAAGCGGAGAAAATTAAGCTTGCATTGGTCAAAAAATAGCAACACGTCGTGAAAACACATCTTGCGCCTTATTGCGCCGGGTGTATGATTGGGTCCTAAATGTGCTATAGCCCTATAGGTGAACTAGATTAACTAAATTGACTGTAGTTTATGAGTGTGTGTGAATGTAAGTGTATGGGTGTTTCCCAGTGCTGGGTTGTGGCTGGAAGGGAATCTGCTGCGTAAAACATATGCCAGATTAGTTGGCAGTTCATTCCGCTGTGACGAAATGCTGAAAAATAAGGCACTAAGAAGGAAATTAAATGGATGACTGAATGAATGGTTCACTAATTCAGACGGATTTCTGTTTTAAGGTATTTTGTGAGCAACCTGATTATTCGTGATGAGGGAAGGGTCTGTTCAACATTTTCAGTCTTCAGAAAGCCATTTGTACTGTAAGCCATTTCAGCTTTTGATTTGACTTGATTCAGACAAGTGATTGGCATTATTAACTGTTGGCTACAATCTTTTTGCAGGTACAAGATGCATGACAGCGAAATGAAAAATCCATCTCTGACTCTTTCGATGGACAGATGGGCTTATGATTATGCGTATGAATTCATGCATGTAATGTTCTCCTTTCTTTTAACTTTGCCACTTTAAACAAGTTTATTTAGAAATAGGATTGCTTCTTTGCAGATCTGCTAGCAGTGGAGGTGTGGTTCATTCACATGGTGAGGATAAAGCAGCGCTGGTGAAGCTCATGCTCAGTTTCCCTCCTCTTAAAGACGCTACTGTCAACTGGGAAGATCTTTTCAAAAGGCTTTACCAAATCATTCAATTGACAGAGAAGTGAGTTTTTAGTTTTGTATTTATTGTAAATCTGAGTTAATGAAACTTCAACTTGCCTTAAATGTAGTTTCTAGAGTTCACACTTAGATATGCTTAGCATTATAGCAGGTTTGTCCTGGGAGAGAACCCTGAGCTCGGATATATTTGAGCCCAGGGCTCCCGCCCGGTCAATAAGCATATCAGAGGATCCGAGATCAGGAAGGTCTCGATAGTTCCCCCTTTTAGAAATGGGAGAGAAAGGAGGAGATGGGGTGGAAGGGGGGATTTTTCCGAAATGAAGATAGGGAAAAAGGTTAGAGAGTGATCCATTTATAGTAGGCTAAGATCACTCGGATTGGATTATTACTGATTACAAATGAGTGGCCAGCTGTGCTCAGTCATATCACGTGCTCCTCTCGAAATTAGTTTATGAAACTTCTCTAGGTTTCAAAGTCAACACTTCAATATTCAGAGTTTATATTGTTTGTGTTGGAAATAATTGACTATAGACTGTGGAAGGATTAGAAAATAATGCATTTGTGAGGCTGTGTCCATAATACTCTCATTCCTCACCTTGCTCATTTCAAGCTTTATTTTAGAGCTAGTAATAGAGGCTTAAACCATTGATGCGCAGAATAATGCAGTTATTGGAGAAATGAAAGAGAGTGATTGAGCTTTTGTGAATTACCTGAACCTGCGAATTACCTGAATTACCTGAACCCGACAACAGCAACTTTACTAATAGTGAAACTGGAAGGTATTGGGAAATGTCATGTAACTTTTCAGTTCATTTTTTCAGAACTTTTCTGTACAACTTTTCATTCATAAAGTAACAGAGGAGTGTTGAATGACAACACAAATCTGTGCACATGTTTAAATGTGTGCAAGTGGGTTTTTGAGTGAATGTGTGGCTGTGTGTGTGTGTGTATGTGTGTGTGGATGGGGGCAACTAAAGATTACAGAGTTAGACTTGTGATCCACTGGCGGCGATTGTAGGTGTAAAATTCTTTGGATGAATGCTTAAATGTAAAAATGCGGAAGAGAAAGTGATAAAAATAGAGCAAATGTTTTCCAAAGTTAACATCATTTTGTGTGGTAAAACATGTGAATAGTTCATTTTTATCTTATTATATTATGTTTATGTTCTCGGATGATGTCTTTGTAAATGTGGGATATTTTGCTGATGTAAGCAAGCCACATCATACAGTTGAATATTTATACAATTTCAGTGAATAAAATAATGCAGTGTTGAGTTTAGATTAATTCTAATTTATTTGTGTAAGACGTTTCACAATAATTATTGTGCCAAAGCAGCTTTAAAAAAGTGCACACTATTACATTACAATCAAAATCATTTAAGATTTAAAGGTGTGAGTATGGTGGAAAGTACAGCAGTCAAATGTACACATGAAATCTGCAGTTATACAATATAACGCACTATTTTCAAAAAGATTAGATCCGTATGTAGTAGTGGAATATAACCACTAGATGGCGATGTGTAAGAGGAGCAGTTTGCTGGACATCTTATGACATTTGATGCTTCATTATTATCTTTGTGAAAGGGTGAATAAGTAAAGAAATGGAACATTGAACCATGAATCCTCAATGTTTTATGCAATATCCTTTAATTCCTTCAATAAATGAACAACAAAACAGATTTTTATTCAGATCAACCATTCCTGAGTACATATCTATACATAATCTATACATGTTGTTATACTATATTATCTTATTGAGTGCTTGTAATATGGAGTATTTATTTATGTGGGCCAGTTGTGTAATAAGTTGTAAGTGTGATACATTGTAAACTAACAAACAGATGTGTTTGCTTATTAGATGCCCGGAGTTTGATGAGTATACAGATTCTCTGTTGATGTTCCTTCACTCCATTCCTGGTCTGAAGGAAGTAAAAGTTTGGCTTAACAACCTGATTGAGAGCTGGGCATCTGGCCTGTTCTCACTCTTCCTGTCTTGTATCAGCTTACTTCACGTGCAGTAAGTAAACTTTATATATTTTGTGCAATAGAGAACTTACTAAATATTAGATATTCACCACCATAGGAAATATTAGAGGATAATGCTGATTCAATCTGAAACAGAAGACTGTTGTTGTTGTTCTTGTTGTGTTTAATGTCTTTGGTCAGACTTGAAACGGTGAATTCTCCTTTGGCAGATTGAAAACCAGTATGAGTCTTGTTGATGATGTGGAGAGTTTAGGTCTGCTGAGAGAAGATGATGAAGTGAGGTACTGTAACACTCCTGTTTTTTTTTTGTTGTTTTTTTTTTTGCTATTTTATTTCTTTATATATTCACTTTGATTCATAATTGACATTTAAAGGTTCAAAATGTAAGAGTTGTCATGCATAGATAACTCTTTAATTTATATTTACAAAGCACTTTTCATCAAGGAGTTGCTACAGAGAAATGACAATAAATAATTTTACATAGTATTGTTCTTGTAAAATATAACATTAATTTCAAATATATATACAGTTCAAGTCAGAATTATTAGCCCCCCGAATTATTAGCCCCTGCCTAAGTGTCCAGATATGTGGACACCACATTTTTAGCTCTTAAGAGGCTATTTAAAATACTTTGAATGTTTTATATTTGGTTACAGACGTACAGTGTCATCCTGCAACTGTTTTGCAGCATATTAAATTTCCCAAACACTGTCCAAAATGGGGGGGAAATGTGTTTTTACTCTCTGATAGTCAAAGCAAGTAAAAAAAATATATAGATATATGTTATATATGCATTCGGGAAAAAGTGTTTTATGTAAATTTGGACCAAGAGTCCACATATATGGACATAATTTTTCTCCAAAGTACATCATATCAAAATATGATATTTATATTTTTATTATAATAGGTTCCAATCAGGCCAAATAGCAAAGAGAAATAAAAAATGCATGTAAAAAACACCTTGGGTCTTAAGAGGTTAACCTATAATCTTTTTCGTCCACAGAACAAACCATCAATGTACAATAACTTGCCTAATTACCCTAACCTGCCTAGTTAGGGCAATTAGGCAAGTTATTGTATAATGATGGTTTGTTCTGTAGACTATCGAAAAAAAAATTGCTTAAAGGGGCTAATAATTTTGACCTTAACATGAGTTTTAAAAAATTAAAAACTGCTTTTATTCTAGCCACAATAAAAAAAATAGGACTTTCTCCAGAAGAAAAAAATATTATGAGACATACTGTCAAAATTTCCTTGCTCTGTTAAACATCATTCGGGATATATTTAAAAAAGAAGAGAAAAAAAATCAAAGGGGGGCTAATAATTCTGAATAATATATGT